ATTCATGTGATAGTTCCGTAATAACAAACTAATAAAAATCTAATCAGCCAAGGAAGTGGCCTTAATAACAAAAAAAAAATATAATAGCTTGTATAGAACTAAACAGGTAATCTATCTGTATAGCAGATTATTTAAATTAAACAATAACTAAAGTTATATATGAAGCAGATTGTATACTCTTTATGTAATTACAAACTATAGAAGATTATTAATAGACAACCTTATATATTAACTAATAAAATCTACTTAGCAATGTAAGCTACCTTAATAATAAAAAAAAAATTAAAAATAAAAAATTAAAATAATATTAAAAAAAATATTTTATAAATCTTCTAAAACTAATATATTATAAGATTATTTAATAGTTATATATTATTTTTAACTAATTAAAATCATGAAATTAAATTAATTGTGATCTGACAATCTTAGTATAGTAGTTAGATTGCCAGACCACTATACAAGAGGTCTGGGATTCAAATCCTACTATCAATGAATTTGAATAATTACTCAGACCTTTGTATTCAACTTACAGTAAACTCTGTTTGTTTCTGGAATTGTAACCTTTTAAATCATATTGTACCAATATTATCCAAATATTGGAAGTGTGACAAAGCATTTGGCAAGATATAACATTACATGAATAAATCTTGATAGGATCTACAAATACCTGCATAGTAGAAATCTCAAGTTAGTGAAGTAGAACATCTTTCGACAGTTATACTAGCTAATACTTAATTCAAAAAGAAAACTATTGTTAAAAGATACAGATCGAGTCAGATATGTATAAATCTGTTTTATGAGAAGAATTGGTAATACCAACTTGGCTTGGTGGCTAACTGAATTGAGAAGATCTGCTTTGTGAAATATCTAAGATTATAGAATATAGAAAACTGGTAGAGAGCTACAGTAGGAACTAGGGTTATATGAACATCTACAAAAGTCTAAGCTAGGTGAATCCATAAAATAGGTATAGACTACTCTAGTAGATATGCTTTGAGATTAACTGGCTTTGCAATATTTACAATATGTTAGATACAATATATTCTGAGAGGACCTAAGCTGTTCTGAATAAATAGATCAGTAACGAGCTAGCTGGCTTAAGCAGTTAGGTATTGCAATGATATTAGGTTAGATCTGTATGAATTAATAAACAGAGTGTTTAAATAGGTAATTCACAGGCAGATTGCAGATATGGTAGTATAGTGTAGAACTAATCAGGTAGTCTAATCGTCTGTATAGCAGACTACTTAAATTAAACAATAACTAAAGTTGTATGTATAGCTTGTTGTATACTCTTCATATAATTACAAACAGTAGGGACTATCAATATATATTCTGTATGCAATTCTAATAAAAATTCTTTCGGCAATATAAGCTACCTTAATAACAAAAAAAAAAAATTAAATTAATTAATTAATCTAAAAATTAAAACAAATAATTAAACATTATTGTTTTAAAATAGAACAAATGTAAAAATATTCTAGATATTCTATAAAATAGATGAGTAATATAAGAAATAAGCTTCATTAATAATTAATAATCAATAATATTTTAATATATTCAGTAGAATTTTTTTATCTATTCTATAAAACTCTAATATTTTTTTTAACTTATAATACCTTATATAGTTACCTAATATATAATTTACTATTAATTTTTTTGAAAATAAAATCTTTTTATTTTTTATTTTTTTTTTTATAAAAGATGGTTTACTTTGCTAGAAATATTTTATTAATTTTTAGATACAGAGTCACAACATGAATAATCTTTGCTATTATAGTTATATAAAGAATATATAACTAGTTATATATACAATTTTAGTTATTGTATATTTAAGTAGTTTGCTATACTGATATTAGACTATTTGAGTAGTTTTAAAAATAAAATCTTTTTTTACTCTATAGTAAACTATTTTTTATATAAAATAAAAGCTTTTAAAGCCTTTAATTAAAGATATAAAAAAAACTTTTGTAGTTTTAAAAGTAGTAAATTTATTAAAATTAGCTTAGTAAATAATAATAAATAGAAATTAATAATTTTTTACATATGCGATCTAACATCTATTTAACAAGAATATAAATTTGATTTAGTAACGTCATACGATGAACCTAATATCTTTTTGTTTCATTCGATAAATAAATAAAAAAAAGTCAATAAATATTGAATTATTATTTTTTATTTTTTAAATTAATTTTATTATTATAAATTATTTTTTTTTTTATTTTATTGTATTTTCGAAATTTTTATTTTTGATTAAAAAAATAATAAATAAATTAAATAAAAATATCAAAAATCGATTTTATTATTTTTTTTTAATGATATGTTGTTAGCCTTTGTAATAATTACAAAGTTACCAAGTCTCGCTACATGGAAGCCAACATATCTTGAGACTCATTGGTGAGGAACATATTCGTAGGCACCAACCCGTTCCAAAATGATCCTCACTCGTGTGGATTGAACAATAGCCTCAACAGGGTAAGTTGTAGGTTATACCCCAGGTCAGGCTCAGGGTAGTGCTCTCCCCGTTACCTTTCACAAGGATCACCCGCAATCAAATCGGAACGACCAGACTATCTACAGCTATATGTGGTCAATACCACATGAAATTTAGAACCATCCTGTACAATATGCCCTGGAATACTTAGCTTCAGAGAATGAATCTCCTAATAGTCCCAACTGCCACGAAGAGGCGTATTCCTTAGTTGAGGTAATTATGATAACATAAATTCTAGATACAAACCCAGAATAAATTACAACATCGTAGCATCAACGATGTAACGATGATATAACAATGATACAACTATGATGTATCAAATCATATTAAATGCGTCCTAGAAATAAAAGAAAAAATTAGAATAAAATAATTAAAGAAAAGAAACAATAACAAAAGAAAATAGAAACCAAGAATATAAGTAACGATTATAAAAACTAAACCCTAGATAAACCCGAAGAAAAGATAATGATTATCTAAAGGTTGGAAGAAAATCACAACAATTTATATAACGAATCAATAAAAGCATCAATGAGAGAATAACATACCAACATATAGTTTCCATGTTTTAACGAAGCAACGCTATTGAAAACAAGAACAATTACCGAAAGAAAAAAGAACCTAAATATAGAAAAATGTTAGTCAAGAATGACGAGAAAAGAGAAACGAGAAGTATAACAACCAACCAAAGACTAACTTTTACACCAACAACCAAAATGTCAAAAGACTTACTGAAGATTTACTGAAACCATAAAAGATTTTTAACAAACTAACGAAAAAAAAAACAAAGTGAATAACAAATTGGAAAGATGTAAGACACCAACAATAATATTTAAAAAAAAAAGAAGAAAGAAAACAACAAAAACTTACCTAAAGAATGACAAAGGGAATTTCAAATCTATAAGAGATAAGTAGAACAACGTACTGAAGATCTGAAAACTAACGAAAAGCTCTAAGGAAAAGACTTACTGAATTATCACAAAAGACTTACTGAAAATTCATAACCAAAAAAATAAACAAAACTGAATCATAATGTTAAAAGACTTACTGAAGATCCAAACAAGCACCAAGAATGATGAAGGGAATCCGAAATCCAGAAAAGAAAGAAGAATACCTATACCTATCGAAAGTAAGAATATGAAAGCAAAAAAAAGAAAAATACCCATACCTACTGAAAGTAAGAACATGAAAGCAAAAAAACAAACAAACTAAAGAACAAAAAAAAAGACTTACCAAAGATCCAAACCCGACACCAAAGAATGATGAAAGGTCCGAAAAATAAAAAAATATGAGACAAACAACGAAAAAAATTTCCGAAACATCAAAAAAAAATAAAGAAATCAATAAAAATTCACACATACATAAAACAAAATACTTACCAACCCTAATGAATAACATAAATTTTAAATTAATATGTAAGCTTAACTTAAATATTTAAATTTGACCCTATCGATTGTTATTTTGAATTAGTTAAGTTATATTGATCGCTATTTTTATTCGAATTTATAAAAAAAACTTTTAATATAAAATTTAAGGAATTTAAGGTAAGAGAAATGATTTATTAAAGATTCACAAATCAAGATTTAAATAAAGTAAAAAGAGTACTTACACAAAAGAATTTACTGACAGTATTATTAAAATAAATAATAACAAAAAAAAAAATAAATGTATATTTTAAATTAGATTTTATTTTTAGTGTATCAAGTTTAATAAAATGATTAACTCAAATTATAATTACGAAAAATTAAACTTTTTTTTATATATTTGATAAATTATTAATTCAAAATTGTATTTTTTATTAATTTTTTTTTTTTCGATTTTATTTTTTTTTTAGTTTTTTATAAATCTTTGTCTAATTTTAGGATACTTCTTTTATTGTTTCAGGTTTTCTTATATTTTTTGTTACTCTTTTAAGTCTTTGAGCTTTATAATTTAAATATATCTTATATTTCAACACGTTGTTATATGTAGAACTTATGTCTTTCTGGTTAGAGATTTCCAGTTTACATTTAGAAATTATACGTATTATTAATTTAAATTTACATTATTGTTATATATTTTTTAGATTATTCTATATTAGGAAATTATTGATTAGCCAAATTTAGTATATTAATTTATTCTACATGTAGATTAGATTAAATAGTATAATAAAAAAAATATACGTTTTAGAATAAATAACATAAATAAAAATATAAATACAAGTAATCTCAACATAAGAATTTTATTTCATTTTATTTTTTAAAAAAAAAATGGGTAAATCAAATGACTTTTGACATAATGCTGCAACATCTTATAATTGTAAACAATGTAGAGAAAAATTCAAGTGTAAAAAAACTGAAACAAAAAAAGGTAATATAATAAAATAAATTAAAAAATAAGATATTTAAGATTAATAGTTAATATATTATTAGATATAGCTGAGCATGAAAAGATTTACCAGACATCTGGTATTC